CCCTGTTAAAAAGCACACTACTTGTAATATGGATGGCTAATGCTATCAGGTTATTATGCCAAAGTCTGATTGTCTCAGTCTGTCTTGTGGTTTTCATGAGATTTTGCACAAGCATTGTTCTCACATTGCTTCCCCCTCTTATTCCATTTTACAATTCAAACAGACAGGAAACATTTTGTGTTCTGTGATTTTTGTTTTTCTTCTGCATTGGGAAAACAATATCACACGCAACATATTAATAGTTGGCTCCCACTACATGCTCTCTGTGCAGTAATACTGCAGTGTGTTTTCCTCTGTGATCAAGACGGAACTTGCCTGTCATGAAGGAGCTGGTTCCACAAACCAATCGGTCGTCCCTGGAGGGCAGGGCTCATTACATTCATTTAACAGACAAACTGATAATTGTCAGAAATAGGATGGTGGGAACTCTGTTTCTCGTTGAAATTATGTCCAAATGGCTAAGTGGGTCATAAAAAAGGCAGAGAAAACATATAAGGATAACAAAATGTATGGATTAGATTTAGGTTCTGTTAATGGCTTTGTTCGTGGTTTTCTGTGCTCTCATCAGTCTGCTTTTCTAGCCAATGATGTTAATTAAAAATCCAGTTGTACAACCTGCGGCTAGGATTCCCAGCTATCCCGCATAAGCTAATAAAGTCTACATTGTGCATAGTTTAAATGCTAATCTTCTCATTTTGATCTCACAGAGCATTGCCTCTGGGATTACTGCCATTGTGGTTTCAAGGAACCTTCATGGATTTAAGCTGGTAAGAGTTTAATTGGGTTTCAGATACTGAAACACATCAGATTGTGTATTTTCTTCCTGCAAAAACGGTTTATGATGGTCCCTCTCTGTCCTCAGCAAATAGGGCTTCTGGTGTCCTCATTCCTGAACGCTCTGCTTTCGGCTGCGTGCAGTGTTGGTCTCCTCTTGGCCATTAGCATCACCATCGCCCAAAATGGGAGTGGTCTGATGCTTGGATGCAATGACACAATGGTGCCCATTAACGCTCGTTCGCCTGTCAGTGCACAGTGCCCATTTGATACGACACGAATCTATGTGAGTGATAGGGAAACTTTTATTGTTTCTTGTTTGTTATGTTAAATAGGTAATCATTAATCATACTGTACTTCATTTCCACTTCCTCCTGCCTGTAAGGACACTACTCTTGCGTTGTGGATCCCCTGTGCTGTGCTGTCTGCAGTTGAGGCCGGAGTGTCAGTGTGGTGCTTTGTGGTTGGACTGGCTCTGAGAGGCCTGGCACCCTGTGGGAACAGCTACATCAAAGAGCAGGTGGGTTTCTCTGTGTAGGGCAAACAGATGTGCTTCAGGGCTGGGGCTGTCTGAATGTCTCTCTCTGACTCACAGCAGTTTACTGGTTCTGGCTTTACTTAATTTAAATGCAGAACTTACTCATTCATTGGATATTCCCTGTCAAATCACCCTGGGGCTTTCCAAATTAAGAGTTTGAGTACTCAGCAAATTACTCTGGCATTTTTACCTTTTTTTTTTCTTTTTTAACAATCTAAAAAGTTTTTGATTTGTTAAAGTAATGATTTTTTTTTATTTTATATTTTGAAAATAATTATAGGTGGGTTGATGTACATAGATGTATATGTATTAGAGTAAATCTAGTATATATATATATGTGTGTGTGTGTGTGTATATATATATATATATATATATATATATATATATATATATTGTTGTTAAATTGAACCCATCGCTCACTACTATTGACTACAACCTAACGATTAATGAGGCCTATCCTGTTTTCTTTTTTATCCTAGTTGGAGGAAGAGGCTGAGCGCTCTCCACCAACCCGCCGTTTGATGGGTAAACATTTCGATGCTGAGGCATGAAGCACCTCATATGTTTGTTCCAGTCTTTCCATTTCAAACCAATGACCCTAAAGTGCCGACTGATATAAGGATTAATATGTGCTTATATAAGAGTGTGACTCTTGAGTGTCCTAAAATGGTGTTTTTGTTTTTTTTATTGCCAAAGCTGTGCTCAGCATAGTTTAACCATGTAGAGATTAGTGTTTATAAAATGTAAAAATGTTCAGATTCTTAACCACTCCATAATATGTGAATATCAGAACACGCCATTTCATTGTCTTTTTTTCTTTCTTTTTTTTTTTTACAAAATTCAGCCTTGATTTTAGTTTTGATACTGGAAAAAATGCTTTGTATGCTATTGCCATAAAATTATAAGATAAATAGGACATATAACATTTCAGGGCAATTTCTTTGATAATTAAGATATTGTTCAAATTTCTTTATAAAACCGATTATTAGTTTTTTGTGATATAACTTACTTTAACTGCATTGTTAAAATAAAATGTAAGGAGTATGTGAAACATTCTTAACTCTTTTAATGTTTTATTTTCCATACAATTTCATACAAATTTTCCATTATTTTTCAATTTTGTTGTTCTTTTTTTAATCAAAACTGAAGAGAAATCGTCAAATATGCTGTTAGAGGAATGTACTCTGAACTGCCTACATAAAAAAAAGGTTAAACTCACCAAAACTGTGTGGACTGAGTGCATCTATTTTGAGGAGTAATGTTGGTCATTGTTAAGTGGGGTCATATTAACCGGTTAAATCAGTATGTGGGTCAGCAGCCTGAGCTGCGATGGACCGGGACCCCCCACAGTTTTCTGACAGAGAGGATCAGGATCAAGTCGGCCATGAAACAGTTAAGCTAGGGCCGTGTTAAATGCTGTGGAAGGAAATCATGGCACACAGTCCTAATCCTGAAGCTCTGGGAGACAAATATTGACAAGTTTTCACTAATAGAGTCACAACAACTCATCAAGTTGCAGCACTTTAGTAATAGCCTAATCTCGGGGGAAACTTCAAAGAGATGAATAAAATAAGTGACATATTAACTTAATATTAGTCACATACTCTTTGCTTCTATCTATTCTAAGCATTTATTACACGTAATGTAAGTTAATATTTGTTTAATCATGCCCTTTGTAAATATAGCTTCATACTAATTAATATAAAAAATGTTATGTATTTCAGTAATTATATACACAAAATATGTCACATAAAAACATTTCACATTCTGATATATTTCAAAGGTTTATTTCTAAGCTTAATCATGGCTTTAAACAGTGAAAAAACAAAGTTTTGGTTCTTAAAGTAGAGAAATGAATTACCAGTCTTTAAAATATGACAAAAGAAATGTCAGCCTGCAGTTTTATGTACATTAGTGTTCGTTATTGGAGGTCAATACTTTGCAGCTCTCCTTTAGCTTGAAGTAGTGCAGCATAGCATGAATCAGGCATTAAGCAAGACAAGGATGATTTTAGATGGCCGCTAGCTTCTCTGCAGTTTTGGGTCTGTTGTTATATCTTCCCCACATAACCAAACAATTACCTGTGAGGTTGAGGCTACAGTCAGGACTGCAGTTGCCCAATCAAGTAGAATGATGTTTATTAATCTTAGTACTGCCCATTTTGGCAGTGTAATGAGGTGCAAAGTCCTTTTGAAAAATGAAAGCCTCTTCATAGAAGTCATCAGCAAAATGAAGCCAGACGTTCTCCAAACTTTCCTGGTAGATGGCGCTACTCGTTTTGGACTTGATGAACAGAGACCGACAGCAGAAGAAAACATGATTCCCCAGATCATCACTGACTGGTAACTTCACACCCAGATTAAGCAACATTCTAATCTTGTATCACCTTGTGCTAGATAAGTTTGATTACCTTGTTGGTTTAGGAATGACCGAGCACAAGGAATACAAGTTGCAGAAATGTGTGAGCAAAGCTGCCCCTACAGCTGCAGTCGATACCTTCTGAGGCAAACCTCTTAAATTGGCTTTTATTCACAATGGTTTTTGCTTCAACATCTTTTTATCATATGTTTTCCTTCCACTCAACTTCCCATTAATGCAATCAGATTTAAAACATTTGAATATTCAAAAGTTATTTTAGTTACTTAGTTCACATTAGACAAAGATTAATTTACACAGAAACTGATGATAGATAGATAGATAGATAGATAGATAGATAGATAGATAGATAGATAGATAGATAGATAGATAGATAGATAGATAGATAGATACTTTATTAATCCCTTATGAGGGAAATTCACATCCCCTATAGCAAAGATTATATAAAATATAAAAAATATAATATAGGATAAAAAACACACAAAATTAGATACAAATAAAATAAATAAATAGTAAAAATAATTTAAAAATACTCAGTCCTTCAAGAGGCATCAAACCGGGACAAAAGATCTTCTGTATACCTTCATTAATTATAGTTTCTGTGCCTTATAAAATACAAATATACAATTTAACTATTTGTTACAAAGATTATTTTTTCTGAAGGTACCTAAAGATGAGCATTGCTGTCAAAATGTATAATTTATTGAATATATATTTGGATACAGTACAGCATACAGCATACATACAAAGGACCTCTGACCCTTTCTCTCATTTTCAAAGGTATAAATGACTGTCTGCGTGGATAATATTATTTTGTAAGCTATGCCATAAAATTTCTGTATCAAAATTCATTTTCTACTGCTCATATTTGAATTTTAATATAATTTAAAGTTTGTATTTACTTTAAGTCATTGTTATAAAAATAAAAACATTTATTATTTACTCCATTAAATTCTCGTTTACAACAACTTCTCATTGTTATCTTCTTGCATACTGCAATGTATCTAAACTGAGATTAAGCTCTGGGCCTTAAGTAAATGAAGAACATTTAAATAGTGGAACCAGATGACGGATTAAAATGACAAGTATTAATAAATAAATGAACAAATAAAATCCTCATCCTATTATATTTATAAAAATATTTTGGACATAAAATAGCAGTTATCACGTTTTTCAAAAATACCACTTCTTTAGTACACTATTATATTAGTTATGATTTATTTTTTCCCACAAGCGCCAGAGACTAGCTCACGCCCACATCCACTCATCCAGCGAAGTCTATTGGTCTGGATGCGCGCGCGCGCTGATTGCGCGTTCCCTATGACTAGTGCGCTGCACGCGGCCAGCTGCGGAGGACAGCGGAGCTGCGCTGCGGTGATCTCCCCCGCAACACCTCGCTTCTCTACAGACAAGGTAAAGCATATCCTACCGTACGTTAGACCTAAAATCTGCAGTTAATTTTCCTCTAAAACGTAAAACATGCACGCGGGTTTGTAGAATGAATCCAGAGGAAAAAGCGCGCAGACACGCGCTCTGTTGCTGCGGTGACAAACAGACTGACGGTGATTTTTGCCTGACACCGCGTGTGGTTGTCGCTTTAGCAACGGAGATGCCTCGGTTAAAAATGCGCTGTTAATTCCTGCGCTCTGTAAGCAGCCGCCTTTTTATTCATTTATGATTCTAATGAGAGAACGCGCCTCTCTGTGCAGGTGTTCACCTAAATTAGTAATCAATGGAATAATGTTTATGGCTGACAGCTCTGCCTCAAGCTGAGTTGGCGTACGCGTCGTGACGCAAAACTAAATAATATCCATAATATGTAGTGGAATATTGGTCTGGCATGGTATGCCCGAACTTTATTATTTAGAGAACAGAAATCTGCATTGTGTAAAACCGCAGAAGTCCAAAAATCTATCTGATCTCAAAATTATATTTCCATGCCATTATTAAAGTAAATTCTTTGATAAAAATAATAAAGAAAGCCTTCCCCATCTAAATGGACATCTAAAAGTACCACAAATAAATAAATCGTTATATAATCAGATAACACCAAGCTGATTTCATAAGCACTGCTAGACCATAGAATAAAGTAAACAAAAAAAAAATATATAGTAAACTTTTAATTTGTATTAATTTGTTTATATTAATTTATTTTTTCCAGTTATGGCAAATTTAGATAATTATCTGATTTATTTATTTATTTTTTTATGTCACCTTTTGTACTCCATAAGTGTTGCCCAGTTAAGGTCACACAAACATGAGCAGAGTGTCTCCAGGTGTACCTTCACGTTGGCGTCGAAGTTGACAGGAGGCCATTGCGGTTTGCTTTGAACACAGTTTCTGTAGTCTGCAACCTGACCCCGCTGACTCAGCTCCCATACAAGAAGATAATCCGACACCGAGACAAGCCAAGACAATTTTTCTTAAGAATGCAAACACACATACTTGTCAAAAAAAAAAAAAATATCTGCTTTGCAACCACCAAAGTAATGCAATTATTTCCTGATAGGATGACTTTCTAAAAGTGGGTGTGGCTGATTCTGAGATAATATCAGAAACCGTGAACTTTAGAGAAATCTGCTTTGCTTTTTTAGGCAATAATCCCTTCTTTGTATTAGAAACTCGTAAGACTTGTTTTCAGGATCCGAGGCCGTATGACTGTTTAAAGAGAGACATTTTGTGTCTTTGCAGAGAGATTGGCTGAAGCAGTTTTGGCGATGACACAGTGGAGTCAATGCAGTTCTTCAAGTCATCTCTGGAAAACTAGCAAGAAAAGATAAAGCAATTGGAAAAAAGACAGACGTACAGAAACCTAGATAGACAACTAACAGAAGATGGAGTTTTGCAATACGCTTGGGGATGTACCGAGGTTCGGCGGCCTTTTACCAGTGGGGCACCAGGATTCATAGAATATTCACACAACGCCTCTAAACAGGAAATGGCTTAAACATTCTGAGATGTAGTGAAAAGGGGCCTTTGTCATATGAAGGTTTACAAAAAGCACAGCTCGGTTGAATTGGGAGATCCCTTGTCGAGTTCAGACTCAGTGCATCCTGTCTGCGGATTTTACTTTTAGTGTCAGTGTGGTATTTTCATCTGTCACTGACTGAAAATGGGCTTTTTTCTCTCTTACCAAGCTGCAGTCAAAATAAGGATGATATGAATAATCTAGAACTTTGACAATATGTCAAACGTTAAAGAGAAAACGCCTGTCGGAGGAGGATGTGCCAGAGATGTGATTTCAAAAACTGTAACAGTGTGCTGCAGGCAAAAAGTCCCTTCCTGCCATGTCTTCATCCTCCTCCTCCTGCTTCTCTTCTCACTGGGTGCATCTCATATGGAGTTTATAGAAAGCCACAGTGAATTCAGCTGCGAGCCCATCAGACTGAGAATGTGCCAGGATCTGCCTTACAACACAACATTTATGCCCAATCTCCTGAACCATTATGACCAGCAAACAGCTGCTCTGGCCATGGAGGTAGGTGTTCTTTTTCTCATTCATCTTAAAGGTGATTCATGTGAAAGGCGCTCCTACTGTGAATTACATTTTCTTTATGAAGCAAGCGTAGTTGCAGGGCTTGGAAATGGCGCCTGTAGAGTTTCATCCTAACATATGAACCTGCTGAGGTCTGAAGGATTTTTTTCAAATAGCCTGAAGTGACAGAGCCTGATACAACTCTGATATAAATGCATCTGGAATTATCGCATGCTAAGGAAAATTAGGTTAGGATGTAGAACAGTATGTTCAGACTAAGATACATCTCTCAGGCGACAGGTCTATCCATCAATCAATATCGGTTTGTCCAAAATCTTTTGTAATCATTTCCTTTTTAGGAAAAAATTTAATGTTTGATTTAAAAAAAAAAATGAACACAGTGAAAATAAAACACAGTTTTTTTAAGTCTATGCTCATAACCTAACAAAATAATGACCTTTATTGTCAAAGCATACAGGCATGGTTAGCTCAGAAACCAACATAAGACCTTCTTGCTTTCAGCAAATGTTACCTTAGAGCCTTTAATCTGTGAGCTGCAGGATACACAAAGCTGCAGGCATGAAAATTGAGGATTTAAATGAAGCAGGGAAAGCACAAAGAGCTGTGCTTCATCTTTCTTCCTCATGTTACAGATTCATCTTCTTGCCACATGTAGCTTCTTTCTGTAGATGCAGATGGATGTCTAGGTACTCATCCAGTCATTCATGACCTTTTAGTCTTTTTATATGAGCACTAGCTGACAGACAGAAAGTTCTATCTGATCAGCAGCAGGGGATGAAAAATGGTCTAAATGAGGTGTGTGTGTGTGTGTGTGATTGAAAGCTGATGAGGAATTCCTTTATGTGCAGACATGGTTTGTAGCAGCGAGGGGAAGAAGTGCCGTGTTACACTTTGTGCAATAGAAGACACACGCTATACATGATTATCACGTTACCTCTCTTTCATAGTCCATTGTTACTTGCGGGGGAACGTAAAAGGCTGCAGAGCGAGGTGTCGTTCAGTAACTATGCTGTAATTACTTGTTTTTTGTCTGGATCAAAGTGAATTTTATGCTACAGTGTGTAAAATCTGGGTATTTTCTGCAGCATTAATTTAACCGAAGACCTCTTTTTATTACTCCAGCTTTAACCCAAGCAATCATCATAAATAAACTCACATTTTTAACACTAAAAGATTTATTTTGGTTTTTTGATGAGGCACAAAATAATCTGACCTTCCAAATTTGACCGAAGTTGTGACCTTTACGTGGCGTTGCATTTGAGTTTAAATGTCCAAAAAGAATAACGGATGCATACATTTGAAATAAATCTCCTTCCAGTTGTTCATAGTTGGTATATTAAATGACTCGTTTTGAAAAGCAGGGGAATTTCAACAAAGCATGTATTTGCTGGCTGCATGCTTAATCTTGAGGGATTTTTATTTTTGTTTTTATGCTTAGCAAGCACTTTCCCATGTCAGAATCAGCTGCATGTCACCCAGAGGATTTAAATTCTCTCTCATATCCCAAAAGAAAACCATTTTTTTTCTTTCATGACAAAAACTGGTTTTATTAAGGGCCTGTGGCAAAGTTAATCCTTTATTTGATAATTAAGGAGAAAAATTATGACGGAGTTCATGATGGTCATGGTTGCAACTATAGTGAAGGTCATTAATCAGCACATGAAGGACCGTGCAACTGTTGAGTCATGTCAACTCTCCACTGTCATGTCAAAACACGCTTCCTCAAAGACTCCAGAACCATCTGTTGCTGAACTTGATTTGACCCAGCTGAAGTTTGATCCAGGTAAGACACTCGCAGTCGCTTCAGTCAAATCTGAAGATGGCTGAGAAGCAACATGAGCCGTATTATTTTTCCTACTCTGCTGTGCAGTGTCCAGGCTGTGCTGTCCTGGTGGAAACCCTGGAGGAAATTTAATAAACCCTCAGTAGAAAAAATGGGCTGCATAATGCCAGCCTGTGTGTGTTGTTGTCTAAGGAAATGTGCAGTTTCTACAAAATATAAGAGACCCAAAACCATCTCCATCATCAGTGGAGTTTAACTGTTTTTCTTCTTAGATTTTTTTCAGAACCTTGTTCTGTTTAGATTTCTTTTAATGTATTATTTTGGTTCTGATCACGCTTTAGTTTTGATTATGCCTTAAAATGCTCTTATTTGACACACATAGAAATATCTCTTTCTTACTGATTAATGAAAGCACTCAAATATAATTTTTTTTTTAAATTTGCTTACATAATCAGAATTTAATCTGATTAAGGAGAAAAATCCTAGAATTAGTGGTTGGTTGTATATGTAAATTGTTTCACTATCCCCTTACAAATTCTAAATTCACAACAACCATGCATCACAAACCTTCTCTTTTATAGATAAAATGATTTGTTCTTCATGTTTATTTGAGGTTACCCTACCAGAATGCGGGGTTTTGTGTGCGAATAGAACATATATATGGGACTGTAAAACCAAAGCAATCAATTTACCATTGCGCTTATAGAGACTGTAAAATATGCCTTTAGCTGACAGAGCAACCCACTTAGAGCAGAATTAAATTAAAATTGTAATAAAAATATATAAAAATGTTGCATTTAAGATAAAAAAAAAAATAATATATATATATATATATAATCAATAATGTTCTATCCAGAATTCTTGAAGTGGAAACTTTAGTTTCCCCTGGTTTAATTTTGTAAAATAGTTTTTTTTAAGGAATCCTTTAGCTATCCAAATATTAATCGATTACTTAAAAAAAAATCAACAGATTAATTGATTTGCAATAAAATTGTTAATTGCAGCCCTAGTTTCTGGTAAAGTCTGTCTTGATATTGATGGAATTCAAATCAAATGAAATGAATGAAATTCAAAAGGAAATCTGCTATGAATATGATTCTATATCCTATCCAGTCTAATGCAATCAGTAACATAAACATTATTTAGGCGCACACCCCATGTATGGGGGCCTCAGTATTGAATGCAGCCGTCATGAGTTTGAATCCTGGTCTGCTAACCTTCCCACTCTATAACACCATTAATATCTTCTTACTTTCATGTATAATAAAATAAAGTCCACTAGTGCATACATTCTTGAAATATAAAAATAGATAAGCTGTTCATATTCTGAAACCGTACGTCTGGAGCTAAGGTATTCTAAAGATAACAATGTGGAACAATATTTTGAGTTTTTTTTTTTTTGCATCAACAAATGAAACCAATCAATTGAATCACATCATATTAATATGGATCGTCTCCCTAGTAAAAGTTCTTTGTGGTTTTTCCGTTATATTACCATCAGTTCTGAAGAGTTTTTCAGCAGTGAATTTAAAAAAATAGATGACATGAGGAGAACAAAAAATGGAAAAATACAGAAGCATCATATATCATGATGCTGCACTTATTAAACTGAACAGGCTTGTTTATAAGAAAAGAGTTTATCTTCAAGTGGACATAAAAAAAAAGCCTTTTCTCCCTCTAACAGGACATTGGTGGATAACCTGAAATAATTTTTTGTGAGCAAGGTGGCATAAAAACAAAACGTTCCTCAAAACATCAATTTTTAAGTCAGTTGCAAAAAAAAAAAAACACTAAGAAAATGCATATAAATCTATGCAACTGAAGAAAGGAAGAAAGGCATATATTTTAATGCATTAAAAACCCCAAATACTATTAGTTATGCTAACTATTATTAAAAAAGGAAATATTTTGACTGATTTAATGTTGGAAACTGAATGGAAACTTTATATCTTGTCTTTTTTTTCCTGGTCAAAATCGATCTGTCATCTCTGTAAATTTAAGGCGATATAAGAGTGGTTGCTCTGCTTTAGCGAGTGTCATGGAGATCATTCTTGGCAGCTGTTGTTAATTTTATTGACTTAACCAAACAGATCTTTTCTTCTTTTATGGGTTATTGTGAATTTGCTGAGCCCTTCATTTTTTTCAGTAGAGATTGAACCTTTTCGATTCATACTGTTTTTATAGCATTTGCTGCTAAAGGAAAACAATCTGTAGAAGGCTAAGATTACCAAATTAAGTTGGATCTATTCAATGTAAATGCTACAAGCTCCAGAAATACCACTGTCCCCCTGTTTTTTAATTGCTTATCCAGGGTTAAAACACTTCCTCTGTATGATAGTTTCTAGGCAGGGTTATGGGCCCAGCTGTCATTGCTCACTAGTGCAAACTAGCTGCTAATCTCTCTCTCAGCTCCACAATGATGACATTGATTCCCAGGCCAGCGACCACCCCATCTGCTACAATAGTCAATTAAACCTGAGCAGAGAGGGTGAGGAGAGGCAGAAATAAGGGGGGAGGTGGAGTCTGAGAAGACATTCAGAGAACAGCTAATGGACATCATTTTAAGGGTTTGGTTTGAGTTCCCATTTATATGAAGTTGTAATGTAATAAATATATAATCTTTACTGTCCATCTGCCTCAGCATGTCATGGTTCCCTGAGGATTAGTTGTTGTGACATTACCTAAGGGCTTTGCGTGTGGGAAACACAGATTTAGACTTAGGAGTCAATGACTGTTTAACTCCAACAGATGAACCTGCAACCTTCTGTGTCCACTGATTGTTGGCATTGGTGGTTCATGGGTTATTTTATTTGCAGATTTCTGTCCTCTAAAATAAGCTTTCTGATTTCAGTGCACTTGTTAGTAGCAATGGATGAAAGGTAGAGTGTTATAGCAATGAAGGACAGTTACTACAAATTCAACAAGAGCTGAATCTGGGCTAAAAGATTTAGTAGCATCAAGAGAACTTGAATTCTTCCATTTCTGGATCTACGACACCTTTTTAAAAAAAATAAGTCACTGCAACATTTAGTTTCCCTTTGGATTAATAAGGTATTTTTGAATTGAAGTACTCTGGATTCTTACTGCTGTATTTATAACTAATGTGACTTTCTTATTAATTAAACAGTAATGTTGCAACAATAACATTTTTTATGGAGGAGTTGAATGTATGTAGGCCCATATTATTCATTAAAGTTAC